CGGCGTTCACCATGCTGCTCCTGTAGCATCGGACACCCCGCTGCTTGTAGCAGTGGCATGGTGTCTGATTGATGGTGGAGTTCTTTGGGGGGGTAGTCTTGGGGGGGTGAGTCACCTCGGCCCTGAGTTTAGGGGTTAAGGGTTTAGGGTGTCGGGGTTATGGGCTTACGGTTGCAGGGTTTAGGGGCTAGGGGGTTTAGGATTTAGGGGTTAAGGCCCTAAACCCTAAACCCTAAACCCTAAACCCTAAACCCTAAACCCCAAACCGGGGTTTAGGGGTTAGGGCTTTGGTGTTTTGGGGCCTTCGGGTTGGGGCTCAGGGCTTTGGGGCCTTACGGGGTTTAGGGGTTTAGGGTTTAGGGCTTTGGGGCCTTGGGGGTTTAGGGTTAGGGTTTAGGGCTTTGGGGTTTTGGTGGTTTAGGGTCTAGGGCTTTGGGGCTTTGGGGGTTTAGGGTTTCGGGCCATGGGCTTGCAATCCTTTTGCAGAGCGTGCTGTGTAGTTTCGAGTGTTTTGTAGAAAATAAAAAAATATGTCCGGATCTCGACTCCTTCGATAAAAGAAGCTGTTCCCCAAAAGCGAACCTTGGGTTTCTACTGGGCTGACATGTCTACGAAACCAGCAGGCCCAGATCTGAAACCTTAAACATATGGGTGGTTGTCAAAATTACGGTCCCTATTTGGGTCCTTATTATAATACGGCACCTATTATTTAGGGTACCCCAAAAGGGACCATAATTTTGACAACTACCCATATAAGCCATAAACCTAAAGCCCCAAGCCCTGACTGAACCCCCAGACCCCAGAATAGCACCCCAAGGCCCCAACTTCAGCCCCCAAGCTCTAAAAACAAGACCCCAACAAACCCCCGTGTTTTGGGTTTTAGGGCCTAGGGTTTAGGGTTTAGGGGTTTAGGGTATAGGGTTTTAGGGTTTAGGGTTTGGCCACCAAGATTTAAAAAAAACCCTACCCAGACTGCACATGCTTCAAGAGACACGGTCAGCATTTCTCGGTCTCCTACAACTTGGCTGCGGCACCATGAGATATGGGGGACCACGGGATCTGAGAGGTTCCATCACGGCTCGAATTTAAAAAAGGCTTTCGTACAGGGTTCTATGATGGATTCACACAAGTTTTGTAACGGCTTCAATAAAGCCTATAGGCTCCATTGTAGTTCCTTTTTGGGGCTACCTTGTAGAATCCTTAGTATATAACTGGCTAAACCTAAAAAAGCAACTACAATGGAGACTATAGGAGGCTTCTTTGAGGCCAACCTCCAGCGCTAAACTCTAAAGCCTCGTCCTTGTAGAACCTCATAGAGGGTGTAGGGTTTAGGGTTTAGGACTTTAGGGTTTAGGGGTTTAGGGTTTAGGGTTCTTCAGAACCCACCGAACCTGTACCCGTGAATGAAGCGACCGAAACCCCCAATCCCTGGCAGCAGGGGCCGCTGCTGCAGGCCGAAGGATTCCGGGCCGATTGCCTTGCAAAAACGCGATTCACAAGGGCCCCAAAAAAGCACATAAGCAAAAACTAGGATAAGGATATCCCCTTTAAACCCCCGTATAATGAAGCCCAATGAGATAGGGATATCCCTCTAAAATGCTTATGCTTATGTTCTTTTTGGGTTCCTAATTCGCAGCATTCAGGGTTTCGGGCTCAGGGTTAGCATTCAGGCTTGAGGGTTGGGTTGTCGGGGTGCAGGCACAAGCCTCAAGTACAGGTACGGGTTCGAATACGGCCTTGATAAAGGTTTCTGGTTGTCAAGGTCTTTAAACGTTCAGCTCTTAACCCTAAACCCCAAAGATTTGAAGCTTCCGCCCTTCAGCCTTCGAAGCACCGACCCACCCACACCCACCCCCACCCACACACACACATACACACAAACACACACACACACAAACACACACACACACAAACACACACAGACACACAGACACACACACACACAGATACACAGACACACAGACACACCCACACACACTCACACACCCACACACGCAGACACCCACGAAGCAGGCAAACACGGGATTTCGGCGCCTTGCAGGCTTGGCGATATTCGCCACACAAGTTCTGATCGTGGCCGCCTCGGAGCAGTATCACTACCGGGCCCAAGGCTTAAGTGGCAAGCGTCGATGTCCATGTCCCTGAAACGCGACCATTGCCGGCGCATGCCCTACTGTCAAAAAGAAGCCCCTAAATACTAAAGAAGGCATCTCATTCACGGACAGGAACTGGGACTCAAGTCTGTGGCATTAAGCACTCACGACTCAAAAGCCCGAAGAGGCGAACAAGTGTGGAATACCCCACAGCAGCCTGGCGCGCCTTGAAGTGGAAACACCGAGGGTGGGGCTGGTGATCATGCTGGTTCTTGCACCAATAAAACTGCTTAGTCGCAGCAGCAGCAGCAGCTGGAGTAGTAGTAGCAGTAGTAGCAGTAGTAGTAGTAGTAGTAGTAGTAGTAGTAGTAGTGGTGGTAGTAGTAGTAGTAGTAGTAGTAGTAGGAGCGCTGGCAGCAGTTGTAGCAGTCGCGGACTTCATAAATTGAGCAATAGAGTCGCCGCAGTACTTTGTAGTAGCAACCGTACCTTATTTAGGGTTTAGGGTTTAGGGCCA